AGGTCAGTTAAAATACCCCCTATGTTTTAAGTTTGAGTTAAGGCTATAGGCAATAAAAATACTTATTTGGGCAGTATGACTAAAAATATTTTATTGATAATTTTTATTCCCTTTGTTATAATAAGAGGAAAAGATAGATCTTTATACACAGAAAAGTGTCAACTCCTATAAAAGGTCCCCCATGACACGTGGTGATATGGTGGGTGCCATAAATCACCAAAAATATTTACTCCCAATTTTATATCAAGTTAGGTCTCAAAAGAAGTGAAATTTTATAGAGACTTTATAAAAAAAAATCTTATTTTAATATATCTTTCTTAAAGAATATTTAGTTTTAAAATGCTTCTTTAAAATTTTTATATAAAAATGTTAGTTATCTCACAATAAATTCCAAAAAATTAATTTGCATTAAAAATCATTAATTCTTTTGAAATTTCTATAAAATTTTGCTTCTTTTGAGACCCAACTTAATATACTTTATGAGAAAATTTTTTTTGATAATTTATGGCACCCAGGCGTGACATTTTCTTGATTCTTGCACAAAAACTTTACAAAAAATAATATAGAGATAATTTTTTAAAATTGTGATCCCTATTGGGCAGGTGTAGATGTAAACCTGTGCAATTTCAGCAATTTCTTTTTGTTAACTACTTATGAGGGTTCTAAAGCTCAGTTTAATTCAAAGCTAGCTGGTAGTAATGTTTCTCAAACTCTGTGGTTGTTTTCAAAGGCGCATATTTTATCTGCAGATGTAAAATATCAGCGTATTAACAGCACCAGGTTGAAAGAAGTTTTGTTAGTGTTTTTGATGACTTTTGTCATGGCCGCATGAGGAGCTCTTTGTTATAACTTTGGGTTGATAAGCAGAAATGAGGCAACTGCATAGCTTATTGTCTAAGGTGTCATACATGTCATGAGTCATGAGTTAAGTTCTCTATTGATTTAAAATACAAATTAATTAGTTTAAAATATTAAGCAATAAAAACCATCATTACTACCAAATTCTTTAATTATATCTTTTTCAAACAATTATGGTCATAGAAGAAATCTTTTCATCAGTTTGACCTTACCTTTTACAAAATTCACTAAACCTACCTGCTCTTTGAAAGACTAATTTAAATTTGTCTGTATCATTAGTTTCATCTTGTTGATGGCTTTTATCCTTAAAAAGACTCCAGAAGTAACAGGCTTTTATCCTTAGAAAGATTCCAGCAGTAACATGCAATAATGTATGTCTAGACATTAGGCTGGTTCAGTATAAGGAGAATATTTTTTTAAAACTAGAGTGGAAGCTTATAAAGTGTGCAGACCTATATTTTATATGTAGTTTAACCTCCCCTATTAATATACTAATATATTTATAGCATGAGTGAGAAAAACAAAATTACTTTTATTTAATTAATACTATTTGTAATGAAACAAATAGTAAGATACTATTTGTTTCGTTTAATGCTAAATCTGTTTTCTTTGCCCCTACCTATTTCCAATTAGTTTGTCAACTAGTTTTATAGCCCCCTTAATGAGTCATTTAACCACAACAAGGGATTTAATAATTTCAAGCTCAATATAAAAATTGTTGAACATGTGAAGAACTCATTTTTCTAAAAAGAAACAGAACCAGAACTGTGAAGGGATCTTAAGTCTCTGCAACTCTTTCCATGTCCAATCAAAGCAGAGCTAAGATTGCTCAGAGCAAAGAGATAGAGAGCAAAGAGATGGCTCTTGTTCAAATCTTGTTCAAAATCTTGTTCAAATCTTGTTCAAAATCTTGTTCAAATCTTGTTCAAAATCTTGTTCAAATCTTGTTCAAAATCTTGTTCAAAATCTTGTTCAAATCTTGTTCAAAATCTAGTGAGTGGAAAGGCTCTTTATCAACCATAATACATTCAATTCGATATACTCTTAGTTTTGGGAAAAGTGTACTTTACAATTTTTTGGCAATAATACCTTTTCTGTTTGGGCAAAGTTTATTTGCTAAAGCAAGCACAACTAAGGTGGAAACCAACTGTGTCTGTTTATCATTTTTTACACTGTTTTTTTATTAATTTTTTTTTAAGGAACCACTGTGTGCAACCACTTCTAAGGAACCACTGAGTGCAAAATTACTATGAGTAGTGTGCCTACAAACATAGTTATTTTATAATTATTTTTATCAAGCTACTACAAAAACAATGCAGTTGAACTTTTTGTAGATCCTTTTATCTATTAGGTCTTTGTAGAACTGTTCAGCCTCTAGATATTTTTTATTTATCCAAAATCCTGTTTATGTTTGAATCCTTGTTAAAAGAACTGTATCTTTTTCAAGATCATTCCAGATTTTTAGGTGTTTAAAGAGCTGATTGTCTGGACCAAACTTTTTACTACCTGAATAATACTTGTTAAAGGGTAACTTTCCCTCTTCGTCACATCATCGTAACTCTTTAGAAAAAAGTCCCATACAAGTTGTCACAAAACCACTAACTATTCACCACCACCCCCTCCGTTGTAGTTTATGTATGACCCTTAACTGAGACTAAAAGATTCTATTAGATTATAAACTGCATTTCTCCAGCATCTGACTCAATATGAGCTCACTTTCACTAGCACAACTAATGTTTTTCTTGTGGCTGAAACGTTATTTATATATTCTTTAAATAAATTTCTGTCAAAATAAACAAAAATCATCTAACATGTCGAATTAATCAAGTCAATATATTGTTTAATTTTTTGAGCTTCTGAACTTATCACTTTATCTACAGCTTGAAGAAATAATGATTTAGATAAATGATAATATCTAAATCATAAAATCAATGATTTTAATATTTTCATTTAGCTCACTTTTAACATCGTCAGTCATTGCATTCTGAGCTCATTAGCATTGATTCTGAGCATAAATTTAGATTATTTTTTTAATTTTTAAAAATATATTTCATTGAATATTATGCAAGAACTAATAATATATTATAACACTGCAAAGTTATAGTTGCAAATTTAACTTTACCATTGTTAAAGTTTTGTTCAATCTTATTTAAACACGAGTTGTTGAAAATTGGGTACTACATTATACAATGAAATCACTCCACTGTCATGGAAACAATTTTGTGTATAAAAGTAATGAAAAACTTCATTAAACTTAAAAAAATCAGTCTTTAGTCTTTTTTACAACTTTTTTTTTTAGGTTAAAAAATTAAATATGGAAAGAGTGCCAAATTATTATTTTTATAATAGTCATTGTGAGAATATATATATATATATATATATATATATATATATATATATATATATATATATATATATATATATATATATATATATATATATATATATATATATATATATATCTGTGTGCGTATAAATTTAATTTAATGTTTAAGAGACACATACTTTGGGTTGAAAAGTCTCAAAAAATAGGTATAAAAAATAGTAAACTACTAATAGTAAACTATTACCTTGCTGAATCTTATGAAGTGTTTACATAATAGTAAATTTAATTTACTTTTTTATATTTTGAACAGTTTTCTGCTCTTCTAAGCAGAAAACTGTTCAAAATTTGGTTAAAATTTTGGCAACCAATTTGCTTTTTATCTTGCTAAAAGTTTCTCTGACTTACAAAAAAAAAAGTATCAAAGAAACCTATGGTCTTAATTGGTTTATAAAAGATTTTAAATATGTTTGAATTACAAGAGTTTTCAAATTATAGGAGTTTAATCCTACATATTAAACCCTGAGGAAACCTAAGAAATTGTTCAATTTAAATTACCTTTTAAGTTTGAATAAAAAGAATTTAATTGTAATGTATTGTGGTGTTGCAATTGCTCATGTGTTTATAAACAAGAAGAATCGTTATATCCCCCACCCACCCATTTGGTTTCCGGTTGTACCACAATCTATATGTTTCTCTGCACCAAGTGTTTCTCTGAGCTATAGAGTTGAAAGAGGTAACAACATTAAAAAACTTGTGGCTTTTGGTAAGCAAAAGGTAAAATGAAATAAAAAATTAAGTTAAACAATAATTAAATGTTAATTTAAAACCCTATTATTATAATTGGAGTCAATGTTTTTACAATAAGTTGTTAAAAGTTGGATACTTACGTATTCAATTTTTACTAGTGATCACTGTCACTGTGGTTTCAGAAGTTTAGCCATATCTTTACCCGGAATAGTTTTTAAAAGCTATTATATTATGTGATACTATTATTATGGTACAGATATTACATATTTATATATATATATATATATATATATATATATATATATATATATATATAATGATAATATATATATATATATATATATATATATATATATATATATATATATATATATATATATATATATATATAATGATAATATATATATATATATATATAATATATATATATATATATATATATATATATATATATATATATATATATATATATATATATATATATATATGAAGACCTCAGTGGAAAAACCGGCGTTGTCACATTTAAAAAGTTATGAGAAAGAATTTATTGATCATTAATAAAAGTTTTTTTATTAGGCAAAGAAAATTAAATATGCGAAAAAAAAAATATCTATATCTATAATATATTCTAAATATATATTTATAGATATATATATTTTTTTTTTTTTCGCATATTTAATTTTCTTTGCCTAATAAAAAAACTTTTATTAATGATCAATAAATTCTTTCTCATAACTTTTTAAATGTGACAACGCCGGTTTTTCCACTGAGGTCTTCATATATATATATATATATATATATATATATATATATATATATATATATATATATATATATATATATATATATATATATATATATATATATATATATATATATATATATATTATACAAATTATATTATACAAATGATTATATATATATATATATATATATATATATATATATATATATATATATATATATATTATACAAATTATATTATACAAATGATTATATATATATATATATATATATATATATATATATATATATATATATATATATATATATATATTATCATTTGTAGAAACAACCCCCTTGGCAACTTCTAAATCATCAATTGGTATTGTTGGTATTTCTGTAATAATTGTGCTGGTTATTTTATGTTTGCTTGTTGGTGCTTTTCTTATTGTTCGTCGGCATAGACAACAAATTCTGCAAACTGTTAACCTTCAGATTTCTGAGCATAATAATTACAATGAGACAAATTGTCTTGTACTTCCAAGTTATGAAGAAGTTCAAAAAATAAAGTACAATATGCCCCCATCCTTTGAAGAGATATTTGGGTCAGAAGGTAGCTATGATTATTTTTAAATTGTTAAATTATCTATTTACATTTTTTTTTATTACGCTTTTTTTTAAAGTGCTATAATTGTTTAATAATTTATATAAATTGTTGATTTTTTTACATGATAAATGGCCAGAAAACAGAAATTGACGTTAGAAAAATGATCTGCAGTATTCACATTGTGGCAAGAAAAGGGCTTGGCATAGAGATGTACGGATATATAAGATGTGTTTTTCGCGACATGTTTTTGAAAAACATGCTGTCGAACAAAAGAAATAAAACGTTTATTCAATAAAAGCTTTTTGTCAATATATGGGATGGTACTATGTTTAGAAAAAATTATGTTTAGAAAAAATAATTCTATTTTTTCGCTTGTTGTGCTCTGATTAGTGGAGGCTTTTTAAACATTAGAAATTTTGTTTGAAGTAATAAAAGAAAAAAGATTGCTGCCCTGTTCAATTTATTATTATTGCTGCCCCTGACAAATCCTCAACGGCACTTCCTTGTAGCAGCAGGTTATAAGACAGTTGATGTAACAACACTCTCTTGTTGCAGCAGGCTATAAGATACTCAATGTAGCAGCACTTCCTTGTAGTAGCATGCTATAAGATAGTCGATGCATGTACCAGGCTTGTGGGACCAAGCGGAAGCCATGGAGTCAAAGCTCCACCAAAAGGTTAAAAGGTAGGTTTAAAGTTATAAACTCAGGCAAGCTGCATGTATGACTTGTTAATGCACTTGGCCTAAGAGTTGTTGATTAAATAATTGAAGTGCGAAAAACATATTTTTTTGAAAGGAATGAAACATTAAATTTAAAAACATGTTTTTTGCCCACCACTAGCTTGACAGCAAAACAAATGTTTTGAAATCTTTCCTTCAACCCCAAAATAAAAAAAGATTGGAGTGGGGAAAACTGCACTAAAAATGGACCATTGATGACTGAAAATGTGCTCTTTGGACCGATAGTTTAAGTTTCAAATTTTCTCCAAAAAAATATTGGTACATGGATAAATAAAACAATGTGTGTTGCCTGTGAGGGTAGGTGTAGGGCACTTTTAGTGGTATTTTAAAAATAGAGGGAATAATGACAAAAAAAGTGTATTAATTCATTTTAAAAAGTAATGTCATACCTTTGATTGAAAAAACTTAATAGTGAGTGGCATAAAATTAAATGTTATCACTTGGAAATAATCTATATGAAATTAAGTAACCAACTGAATAAGCAGCTCTTTTGGTATCTGCACAAATTTAAATGCCAGCTTGTTAAGTTTTTAAAAGTAATTGTGCATTTGTTAATTGATTTAAATTGGTAAAAGCATATTGTTCTATCATCACCTTCTTCCTTATTCTTATCATAGTAAAGTGTATTTCATTTGTGGTTATTTTTAGTACTGGTTTTATGCTTTAATTCTATGCTAGCTTCTATCCTATCAAAGAAATTGATATTCTTGTGAAAATATATTAGTATTTTCATATCTATTCAAAATATCTATCATATCTGTTTAAAAGATTGTTTTTGTTTTTTCCAATGGTCTTCACTTAAATTGATATTGTTTGTCAGGGTTATTTTGTGAGAAAACAATCTATTTGTAAATAATATTTTTTGATAAACATTTGCCATTCATAGGGCATTCAATTTTTTTATTTTTTTATTTATTCATTCTCATTCAATTTTTTTAAATTTAATTTATTATTACTCTGTTCTTTAAGAACATTGAGCACTCTATTTTATATATATATATATATATATATATATATATATATATATATATATATATATATATATATATATATATATATATATATATATATATATATATATAAATTAGTAAAAACATTATCTAATTTTTTTCTTCAACAACTTGTTTCTCCATCAGTAAGTTTATTTTGAAGAATGTCTAAATATCAAAAAACTCTAATTATAGAAAAAGTATTTCACAGGAAGTTGGGAATAGTTATAACTAATTATATAATAACTGTAGTTATTTTGCAAGCAGGAAGTTGCATCAACTACATTTAAATTAAAAAATTAATTATGAAAAGAACTCTAGAATTAGGATAATTTTAGTTTTGTCATTTGTTTTTATAATTTTTTAAAAGTTACTTATTTTCATGTCTGCATTTAGAAATTAATTCAGATTTTTTGTTTAATAAATTTTCTTCGTCCAAATAATTTTTTTTGTAAACATACATTTTTTGGAAATGTTTTTTTTTTTGGCACAGTTTTTTAAATGGACCAGTTTAATTTAAAGTTAATATTTTTTTCTTTTATTTGCCCAATATATTTTGACAGCATATTTCTCTTTTGAGTATTTTTCATGTTTAAAAGATTGTTTGTGGAGGAAAGATTGTCGAAGGAAATTAAAAAATTGATATGTGTTGTTAATAATTTATTATTGCTCTGAGCAGGTGCTAAAGGGAGAATTTATAGCAACTCTATCAATTCGATCATAAATTTATCCTTTGAGTAGGGAATCAAATTGAGATAAACCTTTTTTTGTATCAACATTTGAAAAATAAAATGTTTTCGGTGATATCTTGTACCATTTTTTTCAATCCTCCTGTGAAATCTGGAAGTTGTTTCTTTTATCACCTAAAACATTTTGTTTTTCAAATGTTGATACAAAAAAAGGTTTATCTCAATTTGATTTCTTACTCAAAGGATAAATTTATAGATACAAAAATCTTTTTTTACTAAACTTTGAAAATTGTACTGATGGCTGATGTAAATTTAGAGCTCTTGCAAGTTTTTTAACATTCCCACCACATTAGGCAAAACAAATTTAAGTTCTTTTTGAATACCCTCCTTTATTTGAGTCTGAAGGACTGAAGTGCATGTTTAGTGAAGGTCCTATTTTTCTTTACTCTTTGAACCAAAATATATTTGTTATTGCTGTTTGTTCAAAGAACCAGTGTAAAGTGCTTTCTCTGTTGCAGTTATACGCCTCAGCAGGAAGCGAGAGATTTAGCTCTTGCTTCCTGCTGAAGCAATTTACAGCTCTTGCAAAAGTTTTTTTTTTTCCTCAAAAGTTTAATTATCATTGTAACAAAAATGAAAAATGCAAAGTCAAAAAAATTAAATTCATAGAATAATAAACAGGCACGTTTTTTGCAAAGTCAAAAAAATTTTACGTCCAAAGAATTTTTTCATGGCACAATAAATGATGCTTGTTATGTTTATATTATTGTAACATTAATGTTACGAACATATTCTTGTAACAAGTATAAAACCAAATTTGTATTTAATAAGCAACTTTTATGGAAATAAACAGATATCTCGTGCAAAAACCAAAAGCTCTCGTAAAAAGCAGTGTAGAGGAGCGGCTTGCATGCTCGCCACAAATTTTTTATCATAATTCAACCGTAGCATATTGATAATTTAAAAAATATATACAAATATATATATATATATATATATATATATATATATATATATATATATATATATATATATATATATATATATATATATATATATATATTAATAATTTCTAGATGTGGCTCCTCCGCCTTACTCTTGATTGTTCTTCATTCATCCTGCAGAAAGGTTACAAGTAAATCCTTTTTAATTTTTTTAATTTTTTTTTACACAAACACACCCATGTGTGTTTTAGATTTTTCAAAGTCCAATATATTTTTTTAATTGAAAAAGTCCAATATATTTTTAATGTTAAATCTATAAGAATTAAATATTTATTATTTGAAATTTATTCAAATAATAAATATTTAATTCTTATAGATTCCCAGGTCACTGATTCCCTGGAAGTGTAATGCTGACATAATGTTTATGTATTAATCATGCAGAAGTTATTTTATTTTAAAGCTTTAAAAATTTCACGGGTCAAAACAAATTTATTTTATTTAAACTTTATTAACTTGAGTTACAATTTTGTGCGGTTAATAAAATCTTTTGGAGTCCTTTTTGTTTGTTTTTTTTTATATTTTTCATTAATTAACTATTTGTTTTTAATATATTAATAATAATAAATATTAATATAAATATTCATTAATGAAATTTTTTAACTTCGAATTTTTTATTTTTAACATTTGTTTTCAGTCATTAAAATTTTTAATTTTAAAAAACATAATAAAAGAGGTAAAAAAAAGTGTTAACAGAGGTATAAAAGTAAACAGAGAAAAATCTTTTTAAAGTTGCAGATATTTTTTTAACTAATTTAAGTATCCAATTTCCTTTAAAAATTATCATGCATTATTTCCTTCGAAAGTTTTTTGGAATCCAATTTTAAATTTTTATTTTGAACTCTTTCAAAGATGATGCTGTTTGGCAACCCATCAGAACCAAATCTCAATGTGACAATCCCAAATGTGCAAATTTAGAATTGTCATGGGAATATTACTGTATGCAAGTTTATCACTTCCAAAGTTTCTATTCCTAAATACAAAAATCTTTTCCATATATAAAAGTGGAATTCTCATTTAACTTAAATCATTTTGGTAACCAGTTCATGTAAATTCTTATGGTCTATAGTAATAAAGCAAATCATTTTATCAGCAAATCATCAAAAGAAGTTTAGTTGTCATTATGTCAATATTCAACTCTAATGGTTTTTTTTTTTTGAATGCAATTTATACAATTGTTTAGTTTTCTACTATGAAACATCTAAACTAATGGACAAAATGAAAATGAGATGTAATTAATTTGTTAAGTGTATATTTTCGTAGACATAAATGAAAATGAGATGTAATTAATTTGTTAAGTGTATATTTTCGTAGACATAAATGAAAATGAGATGTAATTAATTTGTTAAGTGTATATTTTTGTAGACATAAGGTGAGTCTTGAAAGTGGCTTAGTATATTGATAAGTTGGTAATTATTTTTGTTTGTTTTGAATCTTTTTTATAAATAGGTGTAACATCAGCATTTTTTTATTGATCAGGGAAGTATTTGTTTAAAACAGCTTTGTTATAGTCCTAACAAACAAAATTAGTAAATAAATGTTTTGTTTAACTATTTTATTTGGTCAGATTTTTGTTGTGACTTAAAAATTTTTAAAGTGTAGAAATATTTCTTTAATTTTATTATTATTTTAATTCATAAATTTTTTGTTGTTGAAATGAAAAAGATGGATATTTAAAAATATATATTTTTTATCACAACAATACTTACAATACACCATTCTTATAAACAATAGATTCCAATTTTATGATGCAACTATTAACAAATAGTTACAGTTGTCAAATATTAACAAAATAAATGTAAATATTTACAAATAACTGTTTACCAAGGACATGAATCTCAAT